TAAACACTCGTCCAATGCCCCAGGCTACATATTAGGCACCTGGTCATTTAAAACAACATAAAGTGAGAATAGTCTACAAACAAGAATGGAACGTGCGCAGTAAAGCCTACCAAGGGAAAAATCAACCATGCTAGACTCTGCAAACTGCAGCAAGCAAACTGAAGGATGCTTGTAGCTGGCACCCATATTCACAAACTTTTAAACGCCCCACAGCTTGAATGGGGTGGCGCTGATTGTGTATTGAATAGCATTAGAAGCTGTTCATCTAAATCAGAGCTGGCCCGCAAGTGTACGCTTTGGTGTTGATGAGTCGGTAGGTACACCATGAGTTGTGGGCGTGGGAGAGGAGCTACAGCGATGTGGCATAGTGTCCGTACAAGCAACTGACCGAATAAAAAGCGTTGCTATGCTACTGAAGTATAGGTTGTAATATCTCTATATAGCTTCATCCCTCGGATACCAAGACTAGGTGTCGCCTCTCCTCACGAATCAGGCAAGAACCTACTCCGCCGTACGCATTCAGATTGAATGCGTGCGGCGCAGTAGGTTCTTGCCTGATTCGTGGCGCATGGCGAAACACTCTTTGTTCAAGCAGAATCATAGCAAGCTCAAATGTATTTCAATGGGTAGGCACCTTTCACGTCCCTGCTAAAGAGCTACAACGCGTCTCCCCTGCATGGGAGAAGATAAACAACTTCATACTCAAGGGCAGTAGACGTACTCATTACTTGCTGGCGCACCCACCGTGGACCTAGTTCACCTAGCTAGACTGCATCCCTTTGCTGAGTATCTCACGTAGTTTCATACTAAAGCTGAATAAAGGAGCGCCGTCTGCTTATTGTGACGGTGAAATCACTAGGAATCTGTTTATGAGTGGTTGTACTTGGCATCGCCACGCTCATAGCAGCGTACCAACTGAGTGGACTGCATGGTAATATACAGGCCGCTTCCGTGTGAACCGTATGAGGAGACATACATTCGCATGCCCATCTCACAAGGATTAATGCCTCGTAGAATTTGTTGCTTCTCGCAGCAGATGCGTTTGCAGTATACACGGCCATGGGCCAACAGCATCTTCTTGGGTACGCGACCACCCCGCAGCATCCTGCCGCAGCCCTGAATCTACTAGGCAACGCAAGCTGTTTCACGCCAACAAACGCGTTTACATTCTAGTGGTGAAGGGTCGAACCAGAAGCACACTGTTCGTTCCATGTTCAACCACGCTCAGCAGGTCCCCTTCGCGGCAGTTGGCATGCGGTAGCAACGGCGGCGTAAATGTGCAACACGAAGCCTGATCGCAAATTAACAATTAAATGCAAAATTAGAGGGTGCAAACTATTACTTGCTACTCTCCTAACTAAACCCATGAGGCAAGAGTGGTCTACGGGCCCTCGGCCAAAACTAGCATGCATGCACTTACCTGGATGTGTCGATGGGTTCAAACGGTAGCTCAGATGATAATGATTCCCTTGAGTCTTCGTGCATGGTCCCTGTGCTGCTTCTTGATTGACGGTCCAATATAGTAGATGACGGGTTAGCAAACTTGGAATTGGAACGACGAATATCGCAGACATTAGTGTCAAATGCGCTATGAACCGTGAAAATCGTGACTTCTCGATGAATCACACGAATTGTCTTCAGATGTACGAACGCCACATGCTGGCTGTAATACACACATACAACACCGACTGGAGCACAGCAGAATGTTAAATACGATAAAGGCCATTGCCTGCTGTGTGGATATGTACCATGTTCTCCATTGCGCGCTCACAGGATTGTCTTGCACGAGCATGAGCTATAGGATGGCACGAGAAACAGCAGATGGGCAATAAACAGCATAACGCCACTGGCTGCTAAGCCAGTGGCATTGTGCTGGCAACGGATCACGTAGTTGTATTGCTTACGAGAATATGTACTGACTCCAATTTGCAAACTTACTCGAAGCAGCGAGGCTCGCTGTGCTCTTCCCTTTGAAAGGCAATTTTGAATTCTTTGGAACAGCAAATTTGGCCTGGAACACCATTGCTCTCTATGTCATTCCCCACAAGCACATCCAGACCCCATAGATCATATCGAAGGCGCCTGCTGCCAATTACTCCTCCAACACAAGAGCCCACGTGCAAGCCGATGCGCATGTTGAGACCGGGGACTTGCATTTCCTCCCGAACAGCCTGGACGTGTTCCAGCATCTGCCTAGCCATACAGAGAATTCTGCATGCTTTGTCCGTTTCTTGGCCCTCGCGGCAGCAGCCCGAGTCCCCTCCACACACGCCCTCCCACTGAGAACGCCAATGAGAATTAGAAAATTCATCTGTTTGCCCCCCGGTACCAGGAGCAACACTGCGTCCACTGAAGGCATCAGGGTATTTTGAAAAGGGCTCCTGTGCTGGAGAATCTATATGCAAGCCCGATACGGCTACATACGCGTCCCCTATTGTGCACAGCTTGTACAGATTTAGCATTATGGTGTCTCTATCAAAACGGGTAAACAGACGCTGCAGAGCAAACAAACACGCTACATTGCTCCATCATCGCTACAAAAGAACAGTCGGAGAACTCCGCTCCGCTCATCCACTCCAAAAGGAGCATCCAAAACCGACCAATGCACAGTCACGAAAGCAGAAGCTGGCTTGAGAGCAAGTGCAAACGCTGCCTTACGCTTACTTGCAGCAACGAAAGCACCTGCTCGGCACTAACACTCCTGGACCAGGCAGTGAACCCGCATATATCCGCAAAGAGGAATGCAAGGGACTCGTGTGAATATGCAAGCCGCAGGTTGTCATTTTGAAATTCGGTGAGCAGCTCCTTTGGAAGCATATCATTTAGCAGCTCTAAGCTGCGGCGTTCCAATGCACTAGCTTCCTGGTTCACGATGTATGTCTGCCTGTCGTCGTACTCCTGAGCACGCCCACAACGATAAAAACCTTTTATCTCCCAGACCAACCCAAACAATTCGAAGGACATAGTTGCATGAGATGCTAGGCGGATATTTATAACAATGAACGTACTCGAACATAACAAGATATCAGATTCACCACGAGCAGCAGGCACACGATCAGCATGCCGCGAAGCCGCTCTGTCGTCGGCTGAGACACTAACATGGCGCTGCTGACGCTCGCCTGAATTCACATAGTGCCAAAGACGATATATCGGGGAATTTCCTTCTCGCAGGAGCCGCCCGGGCTGTCCCCGTGCTGCCCTAATTCAGAAGCGTTCGTTAAAGAACTGACACCATGCGGAGCTGTACGTTCCAGAGAACCAATCGTCTTACCGTGATTAAAAGGGCATCCACAAAGATGATATGTTGAAACAAGAGGCCCGTATTGTGATGAATTAACGTAAGAAAGAAAGAAAGCTCCACTGTGTCTGCAGTGTGCCACTCAGAGGCAACCTTCTTCCTACAACCACAACGACGCAGTGGGTCCCCCAATCAAAGCATGCAAGCTTTTGCATTAACGGCTTAACTTCGTTTTAAACACTGCTAAATCGAGTGAGCCGTTGTTCAGCTCCTCTATCGTGCGCCAGTGCAACACCATGAACACCACCAGACAATACTCGGAGCAGGTTGCTCACCCGGGGTCCCTTGCATTTGTAAGTACAAACGCCAAAGCGGCAAAAATAAATAGAAGGTTAAGCCAAAATATCAGCCAGCGTATTCCCATCCACTGAATGCAGGCACACGTACGCTGTTAGCATAGATTTCGCTGGTGCATCATGATGCACCCCGTCCTGTATGGAAGACGTTCTGTGCTAACTGTCCAATTCAGATTGCGTCTAGGGTTACCAACTTACAGATATACTTGCGCGTTGCCGGTAGTGAATGAGCAGCCACAGAACGAGGACTGTAGCGGCGACAAAAGACCTGGTGCTCCAGACAAGCATGCGTTGTGTCTGAAACAACTCGCAGGTGGCAGCTGACAGGCGATCCATCGAGAGAAAAGCGATTGACTCGTGCACAAAGGCCACCTGCAGAATACGCACAGACCGATCTTCTAGAAATGCCGCTAAATGCCTTGCCCAGTCCCTTGCCAAACATGTGATGTTCTGTTGCGACGGCTCCTCCGTAGGGTGCAAGAGACCTTGTGAATTTCGTGTTAAACTTATCCCACCAGGAAAATGATGATGGCTTGCTCAATCGCGTTTATGTGTGCTTTGTCTGAGTAGAAACTGTGTTTGTAACTATCTTCCATGTCACTCGAACAGAACCTTAGTCGCACCATATCGGTGCGTGCGTTTAACCCAAACGCTCTCGTCAACCTGGAAGACAGTTTCAGGCGTCCCATCTCGTCATCCCCACCGTTGGCAAGCCTGTACAGTGGCTCGTCGATGTCAGTACGTCCAGCACCGCCAGTACCAGCCCTTCGCCAAGGATTATCTGCTGAGGAAGATGCGCTGCGGCTGCGATTCCGGTTCGCTGGCCGCACCTGACTACCGCTCCGTCGTCGCCTATTGCTTGAACCGAACTGCGCCGGACTGAAAACAGATGCTACTGCATTTGTGATGCGTTGCATCCGCTCAGCACCGCGCCACCGTGAAGAACGTTCATTAGATAACGTTGATCTCCTGTCCAACGGGACTGACTCCTTTGCGAGTGAGACGCAGTCTGTGTTGCTGTCGCATTCATTCCGGCCGCACATGTCTGCAACCGTACCGCCGCCTAATGCGTCTAAAGAACTGGAAGACTGGTGCCTGGTACACCAAGGTCGATTCGCAGCGCAGTCAATAGAAGACTCGCTGACGAGACTTGTGCTTTGGCATCCTGCGCAATGAAACGGTTCTTCTACAACTGGAACCCCGCGGGAATTCCCGCCCCTTGGGCTGTAGCTATCAGGGCAATCGGGGAGCCTCTGGCAAGTGGCCTCTGGATAGATTGTGCTCGATTTCGGAACTGTAATGTTAGGGTCCTGCCAGTGCCGACTCCGATGCTGTCGAGGCCACTGAGAAACACCGTGGAAGTATGATGAAACATCCTCACTCTCCTGTGCGAAAAGCAAACTGCTACTCCCCGCTGAAAGATTCCTACCGTGTCCCGCAGAGTCAGGAACACGAGGTGTAGCTTCGTCTAGAGGAGTGCGCATGCCGACAACATGGTCAAGGAGGTATGTTTGCATAGGACCTGAGCACAGTGAGCACGGAACCTCAGAAAGACAACGGATACTTCTCGGCACCGCCAAGCTTGTTACAGCAATGTGAGATGATACACTGCTGCTGGCATCAGGTAGCGAATTCTCGGTATCGTCCTTTAACTGGCCACTGTATTTACTCACCTTTGCCTTTGACGTCGACAATCATTTCCTTCCACTTAAACTGCGGATCATGAGCTACAAATCTGTGCGTCGCTCCGCTTATGTGAATCCCGTCAGCCACACCTACGAAAAATGCAACAGTAGAACATCGCCGCCCACGTAAAGCGCACATGCTATGCTATGTCACAACGTCCTAGACGGTCCTAATAATACAAGGTTCTGACTACTCGCCGCAGCAAATGTAATGGAGCTGAGGCTTCGCGTTCAACAACCAGAGCGCACTTGTGCTTTTCATTCTGGAGGCGGTGTTGACTGTGTCACCGAATAGCGCATACTGGGGCTTTCGAGAACCAACAACACCGCTGCACCAAAAACACGAAAACACAGAAACGGGCCGCAACGAAGTCTCCTACCAAATAATACAAATTAGATGATAGTGAATCGACCTTCTCCCTGTTAGCAACGAGATGACGTAAGGATGTGGCTTCCCACACACCTGATTACGTTCCCACTGTGAATTCCAATCTTCACTCGCAGACGGCGTGTTTGCCTCTGTCCGCTAGGGTCAGTCACTCCCTGTGAAACGTCATCATCCCTCGGACTACTAAACTGACTCTGCGCAGCTTCAGGCTTCCTGGCTAGCGGCTCTGCCGAATCATACGTAATGTACATGGTCACTTGGAGCATCGCTAAAGCAGTCCTGAGAGACACCCAAATGCACATAAAATCATACTTGCAATCACAGGCTAAAAGCCACATACGCTCTCCCGTGTATGTCCTTTCTATCAGGGGCGAGCAGACGCTCACTCAACCGCACTGAAGGCTCCCTGCTGAACTTTGTGAAGGTCGCGTTCACCAAAAGAATCCCTCTCGTCGTCCATTTGTCCAGCTGCATCATCAGCTAAAACTGGATCATTAAGACCTACGAATGAAACTCCTTCGCATTCAGCCTGTCAACCAGTCAATGGACCTGTGCCGATGTCTGGTACACTAAGGAGTCGTCCATCCTGCCAGTGCTGTTATGCAAACTACACCCCTGGGTAACTCTTTCCATGATACACGTAAAACGATGCATTCCTAAGAATGCGAGAATCACACCTGGTATGAACGCAGCAGCGAACATTTGACCACACTTGCAACCTCTTAGCTGGTCTCGCGGAGCCTTACCGGCAGCAGCAAGATATGTCTCAAACACAGTTTCGATCTTTACAAGTTGGAATTGCTCGCTCAACTTGTCAAAGCACAAGAAGAGGGCATCCAGTAGCTTCACCAGATCCTGAAAAAACGAGCAGACGCTGAGCGAGCCCCCCTGATAAGCAGTTATGGCAAACTGTCAACCGTGTCATACATGAACTCACGCCAAGCCTTAAACGAGCAAATGCAAGAGCGCCGGGGACTCTAACGGGTGGCATCGTGGTACAGAATCGCCCACTTGGCATGGGGGTCAGCTCTAATACTTAAGCACATACCTGGGGTAACGAAAAGGCGCAAACGAGATTGTGGAAATCCGCGACGTCGCAAAAGAGAACCGAGAGAAAAAGAGGTGGGGAACACAAATAATAAGGTATTGCGTTGGGCATGTTCATCGGCCTGAATTACGCAGTTCTTCCCCGCAAAACCGTTAGTAAACCCTGGCCCCATATCTCAGCGGATGTCAATACAGGCAACGTGTCAAGTAGTGCGGGCTCTAACACGTTATAACAGGTTGGCTTGCCTCGGGTCTGTGTGCGTTGCCGACAGCATCTTGGCCACGACAAAGGAAGGCAGCATGGTATTCAAGATTTCTCTGCTCCTCATTCGCGCTGCTTGTACCTTTGCCGCATCACATACACTCACAAAAAACCCCAGCTATGTTTTTCAATACGATAGACCGAGCAGGAATTGACGAAGCACCCCATTCTTGTCAATCACCACCCCCGCACACCCACCTCCCCTTGTCAGGAAGGTGATTGATGAGCCGGTCAGCTTGCCTGAGTATCCAGAAGGAAACGCTTCCGTTGGTTGTATTCCTGTCGATAACAGCCGAACGCCATGAGCGACACAAGACCCAAAACCCAGGGGATGTAAGACAAGAGCTGCCATATGCACAGGCAGCGGGGTTCGCGCTGGCTTAACACTTCCTCTGGGGTTGAACCTATTGCATGGGCTGCGGCAACGGCGAGCAGTTCCTGCCGTGTCTGGAGAGGAGCCATCAACTGGTGGAGCTCCGAATCCGCAGGGATGCACCGCCCAAGTCTGTCCAGTGAGAAACCTTCTGCACAGTGAGTGGTGACCAAGGGAGAGAGGAGGCGAGGAGGGGATATTGTACAGGCAAAGCGGCAGAAGTATGACTGGTTGTAAAATCCAAGGAAGTAGCGCACTGTGCTTGAAACTACGTAAAACAAGTTCAGTCCCGTTGCCAGCTTAAAAGGCAGCCTTAGCATGACAGCAACCACGAGAATAACTGACAGACTGGTGTCCATTCCCTCTGCTGACTGCGCAATACAACACACGGCAATGCACACCACATGGAAGACGCCAGTGACACGCAGAGAATAAAAATGGTACATAGGTGATGACTGCAAGCGTCAACGCTACCACTGGCGGGTAGGTAAATTTCACAGTGCTAACAGAGGATGGGTCTCCTTTGACTGCAGATTACCACCAAAAAGTGCCTTTGCTCACCTGCCTGTAATCAACTATATTTTGCAGGAGCACGTACATGACTGCGGTAGTTCCCACATAAAAGTCAAACCTACTGGCAAATGAACGACGGAAAGTGCAAATAAGGAGTCCACAGGAGGGCATTACAGGTAGAAATGCCACAATAAGGTCACCCCAGCCTCCCGAATATTTTAGGCTCTTATGAACAGCAATAGTCACAAGAATGAAAATCAGCCACAACACAAGTAAAACGGCAACGGTGCTACGGAAAACAATTGTCGAGCGACGCAACCCCCTCTGACGTGCGGACTGATAGTCTGCCTCCAAGTATGGATCACGGAACGTCAGCGTGATGCCCTTCAGAGCGTCATTTGCACGTTGTTCCGTTGCGGCTTCGTCGCACACGACGGCAGGCGCAGAGGGAGTGAACGCCTCGAAGTCACTTTCAGATTCGAAGTAGCTTTCACTGGACCAATCATCTTCCACTACCACATTGCTTTCCGAAAACATGCTAGTTGTGTCAGTCATGCCCCGCCGAAGGTTCCGCTCATCGCCGCTATCTGTTGCTGTCGCCATACCAACAAGGAGCCCTCCTGCTGACGTCGTCAACTGCCTCCTCACCTCCCATGAGGGAGGATTCAGAACCGGGCTCTCCGAAGCTGCAAAGCCGACGCATATGCAAAGAGGAAAGGCATGCACCTCCCATAGACTAGCATCCACGTGATAAGCTATATACTACAAACGAAGTAGGCAGCGCAATGCAGAACAGAGTAGATGGAAGCCTCATAGGAGGCGTGCTGTTTACCGATTGCAAGAGCCCTCGACGAACGAACGAGTGCTTTTCCAGTAGCGTGCAATGAGAGCGAGTGGCGCACGGCCTCGCCATTCAGCAGAGAAAAAACTAAAGGAGAAGGCAATCGAGCAGCCACTCGCTGGAGAAATAACATGTGATGCCGTCCGTGGTAAGAGCACAATGTGGCTCCAGTAATGAAACTGCGTCGGCAGAGTGCGGAAGCGCAATCAAGTTGCATTAGCTCGAAGTAGCACGCATCAAGGTGACAGTCCTGTACTTCAGGAAGTGCAGGGTTCCTCTCCAATTCTCTCAGCACCAATGTATCCACTGCCTCAAGCGTCCAGCATAACCTGCAAACATGTAGTGAGGCTTCCGTATCCTCCTTGCCTCGAGTGAAACAAACGCAGCAGGGCCTCCCCCGTTGGTTCATACTTCCCCGGCGCCCCATGCGCCTTGCAGCAGAACCGTCCTCCGTCGCTACCGGTACTACGGTGTAGATGTCATCGGCTGCTAGTAAGACCTTCTCCGGGCCGAGAAGAAGGTTAACCCGCCGAAATACTCCTGCCACAAGCACTGCCACGACGGCACAGGGGAGTAAAACCAGCCACCAAGCAGGAAATCCATAAGGCAAGAGGTGAAGCTGCCTCATGCCGCTGGTCCCGCCATAAAAAAGCAAAAACTGCAAAATTGTGAGAATCCAAGGGAGGCTAGCAATGGCTATGATAATACACAGGGGGCGTAGGAGTGCCAAGCATGCCCCTATCTGCCGGTAACAACGCAAAAGGCACATCTCTGATGCTTCTGCCTGTGGGCACTCCAGTAGACGAGCAGTATTATGGTGAGCCACCGAGTCAACTCCGCATGGCCGCATCGACGAGTAAATACTGTTGAGATGCAAATCATCCACTGAGCTGTAGGGACTCGCAACCGTTTCCCTTGCCGTCTGGAGTAGACATGCGTCGCGATGGTAGTGTGGACCGCTTTCAGCTGCACAGCCGCTCGGATGGGCCAACGTGCGGTAGTGATCCACCGTATGATCAGTTCGGGCAGAACGGAAACGCGAATATGCAGCGGAATCGTTTGCACTTGTTGCACTTGCTCGAAGAAGCAGCGGTCGTACAGCCTCTGGTTTACAATAACAATTCTTGCAACTTTGGTCTGCCCAGCAGGCGCAGGTGGCTCGAATGCAGAAAGCATCTTGTAGGCCCTGCGTTACTCTGCCTAAAACGCGGCCACGAGAGGCGCATCCGCCTATACTGAGGGCTACAAGCCACGGCCTCACGACAACGCCGAAGCAGAGGGCAGCGAGAAAAAAATCGGTGACGTGGAGAAGCGCACCAACTTGCATCCCCTTAAAAATAGCCTGGTGCACCAAGATGACGGTAGCCACTGAAGTTAATATTCCCTCACATGCTGTCCAGAGGCACTGCGAAAAGCAGAGAATCTTTCGGCGTCGCAGCCACAGATAACTCAGTGACCGGGTTCGCTGCAGCAACAAGCGCAAGCATCTCTTAAAAATGTATGGCGACGTGGAAGGGACTGGCTCCCCGGCGGTGTGTCTGTGATGGCTTATAAAGGAGGTGCAAACAACTCATCCCGTCCTACAAAAGAAACAAGAACTGCACCTATATTCTAGTTTACAGAGGGCCTGCGCGGGAATGAAGTGGTGGAGAGGCTAATCTAAATGACAATTTCAGACTGCTTCGAGCATACTTCATCGTCAAGCGAAGCAGCCATTGGATGTCCAACGACGCAGGCGGCGACAACAGCAATCAGCGAGAACCAGATGCAGAATACCGAACCAGTCGGGTCCCTGTAGTCAAGTAGATTTGTCAAAAGCAGTGCCAACACAAATGTTGAAAGCAAGCTTGTAGAGTAGACGACCTGGTCTATCAGTAGTAAGCTTTGCGCCTGCTCAAAAAGTGCATCCCTAAACATCAGGCTGCAGAGGGATTGGAACGACTCCAGCACCACGTCGGCGCTCCCCCCATACAGACACGCCGCCTGAATGCAGGGCTCGAAGATACCGTTCTTTGAGACGGAACCCCTACCAATACGTCCAACAACTCTCTTGGACGCTTGAGACGCCTGTCGGTGTTCTAATGTCATGTCTTCGTGCTGCTGCAACTGAGACCCCTGCTTTGTAAGACCAGTAAGTCCTAGCTCCATCGAATCCATCTGTCCCTTCGATGTCAACCGGCTCTCCGCAGGTCCTGGTGAGGGAAGCGACTTTCCTCTCTCCGCCGCAGGTTCATGCTCTGGTAACAGCGGTAGTAAAGCGTGGTACGTCCTCCTTGCACTGTCCAGGAATGTCCTGCTAAGCTGCCGGAGGACAGGAAGCCTCTCGCCACCCTCCCCAAAAGTTACTTGATCCGCTTCCTGTGGTGCTATCCATCTTAATTCATTCGTAGCAACCTCCGCTTGAGCCGACGAACACAGCACCATGATGCCAACTGTGGCTTCCTGCATCATCGCTGCATCCTCCGCACTGCTACCAGCGGCGATGACAACTGGTCGGGGCTTGAGAGACTTTTTGATGCATGCCACCAGCTGCTGCTTGACCGGACCTCGGATTTCCGCGCAGACACTGATATCCGCCCGGCAGATGGCATACATAAACAGTCCCTACAAATCAAGCACCACATGATACCACACCTCCACTTCCCAACAATCCCATTTCGAAGCTTCCCGAACATGTCGTGGTTCCAGAATTAACTACATTAAGGTACACACCTGAAGCAATTTATGGGAGAGGAAAAAGGAAAGTGAAGCTGCATCAAGCAGGAGACAAATGCCCTGGCCATGATCTCGTGATTGGCTCCACATGTCCTCAAAAACGCGAAGAAAGCACCGTCCAACGCGGAGCTTCCTTCGAAGAGACAGGGACGAAATGCTCACGTTGTACTCCTCTTTATCTTGTACCTCACTCCTCTGTTGAAGCATGCGACGCCCCGCACCAACATTTTCCTTCTCACTCTCTCCCTGGTGAACGCCCCCGCATTTCTCCCTCCTAAAGTGAGCCTTAGACCTGCTGTAGCTACGTTGCGAGAAACTTCTACCCACACGCCTTGCGTCCCCACCAACAGAAGACAGCCGACGGCTCGTCATTCTCAGTAGGCGACGTCTTGGCACCGCAGTTCCACACTCGCATGCCCACATTGATGTAGATGGACTCTGAAGGCGACGGCGATCCTTGAGCACGTAGTGGGCCAGCTCGGTCAAGCAACGCTGCAATAAGATTTGGGCGTCTGCTACGGCCCAGTGCGAGACGGATGCTGAAATGTTCGTCACGAGGCCATGAAGGCATCCAGGATCCAAGAGGCGAGGTGGGCCGGTGCGTAAGTCACCAGTAGTGTGGTGCACACTTAACAAATGAATCTCGTCGCACCGGCGGCACGGTGCAGCTCTGGCGGCGTCGCCGGTTTCCTCGACACTTTGGCATACGTTGTCCCTCCTGGGAATTGAGGCGGCGGACACACCACTGTTCGGCATAGCCCCACAACGTTTACGATTCATCTCCCCCAAAGAACGAACGTGGCGGGATTCTGGCGGTCCAACCTTGCTCAAACAACTCCAATCAAAAGATGGCAATAGCCCACAGTGCCTCGCTGTCGCGAGGGCAGCGTGCTTGTCACCACCAACCAGAAGCATCTGCCGGATTCCCACCTCTCTCACCTTCGCTAGTGTTTTCCTGACTCCTCGCTGCAGCTCGTCCGTCACAGCTACGCAGCCCACAAGCTGTGCAAGCACGGAACGCTCAGACACACAGCACAGCAGCTCAACAACCCCCAAACCAAACACAACATCTCATGTGTTCTCGAACTGTGCAAGGGTAGGGGTGCCCACTTCCTCCACGTACCTGCAAGTCAGTCTCAAAGCTCGTGATGATCCTTTCCTGACGTTCCTCTTGGCGATACATGGAGTTAGATGCTTCCTCGCTCAACTGTATGTACAATGCTAATTCCTCAGCAGATAAGGCGCGCGCAGCAAAAAGCAATGGCCGCGACCCCTCTAGCGAAAATCGCTGAGCTGCTAACAATACCTGACGGACATATTCTGCATATCCATCGCCCGTCCGCTCCTCCCCGCCTAAAGCTGAGTCCCCGCCGGGCCCATTCGTCATCCGCTCCACCGCTTTATCCATCTCACTTCCACTGATGCTACCGCTGCTGCCTGCTCTACAGCCCACACCATGGGACCTCTCAGGCAGAGTCATTCCGTGCTCTATCGTCTTTAGTGCATCCAGTCCTCCCTTACAGATCTTCGCAATATCTGCTGCCGGACCTCTAACCACAAGTAGAGCCCCCGAACCGTGTCCCATAGGTTTCACTACACATGAGAGGCGCGGCCGCCGTGGCGACGGAGCGTGACTTCCCACAACTTCTACTAAAGACACAGGACTGCAATTAGCCGCACAAAGCTTCTCACCGAAAACGGCCTCAACAAGTGTTTGGAGTGGCGTGGCTCTACAGCAGCTGCAGTTGCCTTCTCCTGCCGACCCAGGCCCTGGTGAAGGCCTGCATGGTGCTCCTCCCGGCGGCCTGGGTGTTTGCGAGGGTTCTACCTGCTGCGTCTCGCACAGGCACTGCGGTATAGGTATTGGGGACCGCTCAACGTGCAGCTGCGTGCCGCGTCGAAGGACTGGTCTGTACCCCAAAGCCCCACAGAGATTCAATACAACTGGATCCTCGGGAAGCGTCGACTGAGCAGGAAACCAAATTCAGCGGCAACTGTCAAATCACACGCAGCTCATGTTTCCACTTTTACACCTGTAATACACCCCGAAGCCCAATGCCCATTTTTGTAGGAAACGGGTATCTGCTGCATCGCAGACTATCATGCTAACAACTATTAAGTAGAATGCCAAGCGTACCTGAAAGTCAACCTCTACATGCGCCCTCGTTGCATCCGGAGCCCCGGATATTTCGTCTACACCTTCCCTCCTCCCTGGATTACAACAAAATGAACAAAGAAAAACGTTATGCACTGGCAACCGATAGGCGAAGACCACCAGCCTGAAGTGTCGGGAGACCACGCAGCTCCACCGTACCTTCCTGGGTCCTTCTAGACAAAAACGGAGTTGCGCAGTGGCAAATGGATGCAATCTGCAAAACGGAGGACCTTTCGAACCCGCTGATTATCCGCAGGATGTCCCAAAAAACCCTCACAATTCGTTTCTAACTGTTCCACGATTTCTGCAACAACGATCCAGCTTCTCTAAGGCACGCTGACTGCGCCGACCAGCTCACCTGTGCCAGAACTTCCAGCCTGCCACGTTCATCACGGTGTGTGGTGTAGTAGTGTTCTATTGCCGATATATCCTCCATCTCGATACCACACCTCCCACATTGGACGAAAATGGCTCCTTCCAGGTCATCGACGCTCGGCTGCGTCTTGCCCCCAATGGCATCTTGATTCCCAGGTGCGATGCCTTGCACTGTCCGCGCCTTTTGGCAGGGACAATCACTGGACGACTCTCCGGGCACTTCACCACTCTCCATGCTGTCACAGTGGTGGCATGCCGCTCTCAAATCGCCTTCGTGTTCTATGTCGCGTGCGAGGGGTTTCGAAAAGCAGGCTCCTCCAGCGCACACCCCTCGAAGTTGCAGTGTAGATCCATCAACGACCGCTCCCTTATCGAATAAAAGAAAGTCCGCTCGGGCTAGATCATCAAGAGCTGAAGGCGATATGAGCTGTCCGAAAACCTCAGATGCGCAATAACCTTCGTCATGTGAAGGGCACTTCTGCCCATGTCGCTGCTCGGTTCCATGGTGTCCACGCTTCCACGACTGCCTCATCTGTAGGCTGTCTCCATGTCTGTCCGGCAGTGGCTTTAAAGGTTGCCAAAGGTTCTCCTTTCGCCTGAGCTTCGCGATGTCAAGTGCGAAGCTAAGAGCCACTGGCCCACATGACAAGAGGAAAAGCCACTGCGAAAGGTGCGCCTTGTAGTGTGGCATATCAAATGTCCAACCCTGTTGTGTACCGATCAGCCCTTTGACCAGGAACAACGCCTGAAATTGACAGTTACAAGAGCAATCCAAGACAGGAATCAACAAAACCGGACAACCTGAACAGCAAGGGACGGCATGATATGGCCATTGACTGCCCACGCATTCCACGTTGAACATCATAAGATGCGCAGCCCTTCGCAATACTATGTACGTTGTACGACCGGTCTCGGGTGCTCCAGAAGACAAGCGTGCTTCGACTCAGGCATCCTGTGGATTATCTCTGTGCAGATCAAGTAACGCAAGTAACGAACAGGGGGCACTCACCACACCGAGAATCAAACTTGTAACCGCGAAAACGCCAACAACGACGCTGCATGCGGAATCCAGTTCCCTATTCCCCTCCTTGCAGCTCCTGCGAGACTGGTAAAAAGCTACATCCTCTGCGGCGTGCAGGACCAGTCCATCAATCCACTCAGTCCATCGCAGAATGCTCCCTGAAACCGAGTGCCACAGCATATGTAGGACACGCTAGGTGTACGTAGATGCCCTTTCTTGTGCCGTCAAAGAGAAAAGAAGATGGCAACTGCAACTGCAAGTTTTACCAACTCCTTCGTATCCTCCCTCCATCAGGTCCCTGCATTTGCTTGTCATGCCGTTGCTGCTTGGCCTACCAGCAGCACCACTCTATCAGCCCCAGCGCACGGGCAGCGACGCACCTCTTGGAGCAATGTTGCTGGCTACGATGCGAGTTCCCCTGGGCCGTGCGTCAAGCCGTATGGTCCCCTTGAAGTGCGGCGAACCTCCAGCAGGGGTCTCACACACAACCCGCCCCCTTAACCCTGCAAGGGCCGCGAGCGAATAATCTGCCTTCGTTTCTCTTACGCAGTACCGCCTGGGGACAATACACAGACAAGAAAAATCGTCCGCCTAAACAGCTGACTGGGAGGGGGGAAGCGAAAAGCACGGAATTGCGGTTTGCTTTGACGTAAACGACGCAGAGGTGATGCAGGGGAGAAGCTCGCCTAGTAAAACTAGTCGCGCCGTCTACCATGCGCAAGTCCAATATAGCGGACTCTGAATGGCCACACGTAAGGATAAGCAAGTCTGCCGGCACGCACTCCCCGCAATACACGCGCACGATGTTGCCCACGCGGAGGTCTCCCCAAGCTGCCTACACACATACACCAGCAGTTTCCCGCACTCAAGAAACAACACAGAAAATAAAGCACCGATGCAGCAATATGCTCCAAGAGCAAAGTGTGGACATAATCCCGTGCATGGCAACAACTCAATGCTCAGCAGCGAGTGAATAAAAAAACAATCGTAGCTGCAAATAGGCCTGCCGCATTGACGACAGCCAGGAACGTATGGGCGCTGCTCTGCTCCTCCCAGGGAGACTCCTGTACAGTTGACAAGCCGTTGAACAACGTGTTTCAAACCAGAGGGAATACAGCCGGGAACGCGACAGGCGGTCCCAAACATGTCTTAAAAATGTCATTCCCAGGGGATTGCATGTAGAAAGGGCCCTACCTCCTTAAGGACCGGCTCCCGTCCGTCGAGGACATGGCACGTGAAGGCGCTTGAAACTGTTCTGCAGAAACACACAACCAACTGCAGAGATGCGAAACCTGTCCCAGGGACGAATATATGCCCACACATCATTGCCTCTCACAAAATTTTGCAAGTGGGCAAAGGAAATGGGGAGCCGTTGTGTACGCCGTTCAGTAACGTGCTGCAACGATCGGGCAGTTTCCAGCAGTCCTGTGTTGCAGCAACTCCTCTCAGTGTATTCGAGGAGTACTATGCTGTCAGTCTATGGAAGCACCAACAAATGCGCAGAGGCACAGCACGAAAGCGACATGTCCATATGCCATTGTAGTAGACATAACCAGTCACACATCGCAGCATACTGAAGCGAGAGCAATCGCACGCTGCTAAACAGCCACAGAGTGTGTCTGGGGTTAGTCACAACCCAAAAATCACTCTCACGTGCCCACTAACATGACCACAGCCAACAGACTCTGCAACACCGACTCCACCACAGAAATACTTACGCTGCAATCGCCTCCCTCCGGCTCGAAGCCTGCATGTGGCGCCCCGCGAAGGCCGCCACCGAGAGAAGCAGCAGCAAGGGGGCCCCTAGGAGCAGCAGCACCTGGTGTGGTGCAGACAAGGTGCACTTATGCTCACAGCCATACACGACAAAAGACAGAATGCACGTCACCATGAGCCACAGGTTGGTGGGCCGGGATAGCAAGCGCCAGCTGGAACAAAGGAAGCGCGACAAACTCTGCAGCACACACGCAGCAGATGCTGCAGCTGCAGCAGCATCACATGCTATTCTCGTGCCCCACCCTCCTGCTGACGCGAGAGGACACAACTTTTCCAGTCACCTAGAGCCTTGGGAGGAGTTTGGACTCACGAATTGCATACACCCTCCTGGTGCTGCTACAGGAGCAGGTGTGCACGTCTCTTCCTCCGTTACGGGGTTAATGACCACCTGCCGCACCGCCCAATAGGGCATCAGCAGACGAGTCCCCCTTGAGAGCCTCTCCTTCTTGGCATTTAGCAGTGTGCGTTCAGTCCCCAGAAGAGGTGCTGTCGGCAGACTAGGTGTCCCCCAAGCGCTGCCAGCCGTCGATAACAAGGGGGAAGTCTTGCTGCCGCCGGTGCTGCTGCTGCTACTGCTGCTGCTGATGTCACCTCCCACCTGCCCCCGGCAGGCTACGCTGTCCATGGGATCTGCATCGTAACCTGGGGAACCTCCCTCCGGTTCGTGACTCTCAGGTGGCATCTTCCAAGAGAATGCATGCAGCGGCAGCCCCAAATGACGCTGCCATTTCGCAGCGCCCCTACACTCGAGGTCCTGCAAGGCGGCAGCTAGTCAGCTAGCCACTCAGCCACGAAACCTGCAGGCCAGCTAACTTATTCCCGCGCAATGGATGACTCAGAACTTGTCGCCGCCTGCCGCGCAAAGCATGGCGGCGACGGGAGGAGCAGGTCGGTGGAATTGGGTGTTCTACCCAAACGAGAGTGCGAACATTACTGCTCTCGCTTCCCTGTCTGTCTGAACCGCTGTAGTTCCTGTTCGGAGGACCTTCGGAGGACCTCGGCTGTAGTGCACAGGCACTACAATGTGTCTTAGATGTGACCTCTAAAGGCTATAGGTTGGTAAAGGGAATAAATATTATTAAATATTTTAGGGAATTAGGACATTATTAGTTAGGAATATGCATTAATACTATTATATGTTCCAGGGGTTGGAGCACCGTTAGAGAGAGTCGTAGCTTAGTAGGGTCAGTGTGCTAGCTATCTGCGCCTGGCATGTAATGCAGTCCTTAGACACTACTTTGGACCCCATATACGACTTCTAGAGATCTAATTTATGGAAAAGAGATAAATACTATTTATTATATCCCTGATTATGGCATTTTATAGAAAGAAGCTTTATAGGTCAGGCACCTGACTGTGTTAGCGCTGCTTCACTACTTTCCCCGCTATTTTGTAGGTCAGGCACTGATCCCCAGAAAGACCGGGGTTCAGTTCAGATTATTGCAGCAAGTCAGTTCTATTATTCTGGGAACTTCGCTCGCTTATAATAGGGGCTCGAATGTGTTTTGGAACTTTAATTATTGACTCCTGGGAATGTGAGTACCTAAAGGATGTAGTTCGGAAGCCCGATTGCACAAAATGATATATGTAGTGCACAGGCACTGCAATGCATCTCAGGTGTGGTATCTAGAGGCTTAAGATTAGGATATGGAATAGATACTATTAAATAATTAGGTACTAGGACAATATTAGTTAAAGAGTTAACACTACTAAATATCCCAGGGATTAGTGTAGAGCACAGGCATTACAATGTGTCTCTGGTGTGACCTCCGGTGGTTTTAGGTCGGTAGGGGGAATAAACATTATTAAATATTTTAGGGACTATGGCATTGTTAATTAGGGAAAGGAATTCTACTAATTGTTCCAGGGGTTGGGGTACCGTTAGGTGGAGTCGTAGCTTGGTTGGGTCAGTATGCTAGCTGCCCGCGCCTGGTATGTAATGCAGTGCTTACACACTATTCTGGACCCCATATGTAACTTCTAGAGACATAATAAATGGAAAGGAGATGAATACCATTTATTATTTCTTTACGTATGGCATTTTTAAGTGGATAGCAGCTTTATATTTCAGGCACCTGACTGTGTTGGCGCTGCTTTACTACCTTCCCCGCTAGTTTGTAGGTCAGGCACTGATCCCCAGAAAGACCGGGGGTCAGTTCTGATTATTCTAGTCAGTCAGTTCTATTATTCTGGGAACTTCCTATGTTTATGATGGGGACTCGAATGTTTTGACAATTTAATTATTGACATCAGGGAACGTGGGTAGCTAGAGAGTGTAGATTTGAAGCCCGATGCTATGAGATGACATGAAAATTTGATTGCTGGGTTTTGGAGTTGGGCGTTGCGCCTCGAGCAAAAAAGGTTGAAAAGGGGGATGTGAGGGAGCTCCAACTTCTACGGCACGCCCTGATGTCGAGCCAACCGTCTTCACGCGTTTGAATAAACCCTCAGTGTTGCTACCGAGCGTGTTAGGCTTGGTGTTCTATTAGCTCATTATTCTGTCAAGCAACTTAAGATGTGTTAGCACGAGAACGACCTCCTCTTGCTCGCCTCGTGCCATTATCTGCCATGTGAAAACCCCAAATACGATGGCTTAGATGTATACAGTCAGTGCTAACTTCACGTTGTTCAAACCACGCTGTGCGTTCATTGAGTCCCAACTCGTGTGTAAGCACTTTTGTTTTCCTTTGCTATGCACCCAAGGGACCCATATATTAATGCTTGCACTGACACTCTATACACACGTTTTTCATAATACGTCTTGAGGCTTTGATACTTTTCTTCTAGTAGGCGCAGCTTAAGACTTTTGGGGGCTGTTCCGGGAAATCATATCTGTTTTACCTAGTGACCTCGCTTTTAATGTAGGTCCCACTCCCACAACTATTCTGTAGGGGAACAGTTAAGAGGAACCAGCCGTAACACGACTGAAGAGCTAGGGGCGATGGCGTGATGAGCCAGCTTGTGATTACACTGAGGTACCGGGAGCAAACCTTGTGGGAAGGACAATGGTGTAGATCTCCGACACCGATATTTCACTTCAGACTGTAATAAATGATTACCAGGATACTAGAACACCTAGGGCGGGCTTCCTCCGGATATCTGATTTTACTGTTCTTCCTGAGGATGGAAAGAATATGAGGTACTGGTATCCGTTTTCCACCAAATCCGTGTGTTCAAGGAAGAGAGGTGCAAAACAGCCTTCCGCTCGATATGGGGGTTATTCGAGTACAAGGTGATGCCCTTCGGTCTCAAGGGTGAGCCAGCTACTTTTCACGCAAATACTAATGCTTCTCTACAACCGTTATTGGGCCAAGGTGTCATCGCGTACCTCGATGACATCCTTATTTACAGCGCAGATTTCTCCAGCTGCTCTGTTCTTCTCCGACAAGTGCTGGTTATATTTCTGCAGCGCCGTTTCTATCCGGAGCTTCGGAAGTGCGAGTTTGTTAAGCAGGAGCTTACATACTTGGGCTACGCGATCAGTGCCGAGGGAATTAAACCAGCCGCAGACAAGATTACATCCATACGTGTGTGGTCCGAGGTACTAGATAATGAGACTCAAGTTCGTCAATTTCTGGGCACCGTTAAATACTGCCGAATGTTCATGGGGCCGGATTTTGCAGCAGCCGCCCCGCCGCTTGTTAATCTCACACGTAAAGGGGTTCCCTTCCAATGGACAGGGAATCATACCCAGGCTATGAGGCAACACAAAAGACGACCCATTGATTATACCACTTTACACATGACACGGCAAAACCCTTTGATCTGTACACTGATGCACCAGGATATGCAATAGGTGCGGTCCATGAACAGGACGGTCAGCCAATAGGGTTCCTCAGCCAGGTGATGAATCAGGCTCAGCTGAAATGTTCGATCTACAGTCAGGAACCGTTGGCTTTAGTTACCGCTCTCGACAAGTGAGCTCAGTTGTTGAGAATTTCTAAGGTTACGGCCTACACTGACCACCACGCCCTTACTTACTTACAAGAGCTCACAGTGTCAAAACCTCTGCGAGGCCGTACAGATCAGTGGTTAGATTGCCTGGCGCAATTCCTGTATCTTACCATTACCTATTTACCAAGAGAGCGTAACCAAGTGGCCAACGCTTTGTATCGTGAAATTACTCGAAGACCGGCTAATCCGTTATCACGGACTTCCTGAGGCTCTTATCTCTGATCGGGACCCTCATTTCCAATCAGAAGTGTGGGAGGAGTTGTGCTCCCGATTTACTATCACAAGGTCAATGTCGTCGCCCTACCACCCGCAGACCGGCAGACAGACAGAAAGGCTCAATCTTCCTGTAGATATTTCATTTTGAACGGTGCTGCTCCCATATGTGGCTTTGTGCTGCAAACTGCACACTGCATGCACAGTGTTGTCCGCTGCACGTGCACGTAGCTACGTGCAGGTGCAACGGACAACACTGTACTATCTTGCTTGAGGTGTTTGGCTGTCGATAGGGGAGAATTACAGGGGCAGAGCGACTACCCCGAAAGTCCACTGCACTTACTGGCCACCTGTGCTTATTGCCTTCTCCCCAACCTAAGATTGCACCTATTGGAATGCACACCTAGCAGCTGTAGGCTTGCGCACTTGCAATGCTCTTGGCCCTAGGCAGTTCGTATTCCGTCAGCCACTCCTGTATATCGTTTTATCTGTGGGTGTTAGTTCCTCTTTGGTGGCACCCGTTCTACTTATTCTGCACGCTTTTGGGTGTTTGCATGGCAGCGCACCGCTGGTCCCGAGAGAACCGATTACGACAGATGAATGAGCCAGTAGACTCTGATGTAGCAACATAAGGGTGCAGCGCCCTTTGTGCTCAAGGAAGCCCTGTGGGGGAGCACAGGCCGGTGGAGCAATTCGGGGTTTTGAGGGCGACGAATAGCGACAATGCCACCGACAACCGGACCATGGCTAATTGGCAAGTGGCATGTACGCTGCCCCAACTTAAGCTTCGTCGTCCCCACGTTTGCAGCCGCTACCAACGAATCAAGGATTGCCTGTAGATGTTCCAGAGCGATTGCGTCGCTCAAGCGATCCCGAGAAATCCATTCAGATTGCAGTCTCATGGCCATTTAAGGTAATATTCGCTTTTTTCGGTTGCCTCAGAGAACTGTCACACGTCTGTCCAGGGTCTCAGTGTCCTTCAGTTGTGGGTTTTCACAATGGAGTTGACGGTGGGTCGTGAGGCAGAGTAGTAAAGGATCTTACCCAACGCCCAGCGAATCTCTTCGGCAGCTCGGCCTACTGAGCGTTTCGGAGAGCGTGCGAACCCACCAAACCCAAGTCGGTGGACTGGGCGGGCACGAAGGAACACGAGGTTTAAGGCGCATGCCTGAACTGAGATAGCCTAGAGTTAGAAGCCACCACCGAATTGCCTCTGTCTCCGCCGTTTCCTCTTTGGCTCTTTCTGCTCTGCGACAAGCCCCAGTGACTCGAAGTGTTAGCGAACATTTTTGTGGTTCCACGGACCACAGCTTCTCCTATGCAGTACTGCTTTCGGAGCGCGCCGTAAGTGGTGGTGCTGCTGGTCATTTCGGCTGAACACAAGCCCGTTTTCCGTGCATGCAACCATCCACTAACCATTTATTGGGCCCTCAAAATCGTGATTGGATCGTTGTTGCACTCCGGCAATTGAAATAGAGGGCCTAAATGGCTTGCTAACCTGCGCTGATGGGTATAAATCGCCGACGTGAGGCTGTCATTGGGATGGAGTGGCATCTGAACGAACTAGTCTCTTGCCATTTGCTGTTGCAACAGCAGCAACAGTAGGGCTTCTTACCGAACTCGCATAGGTGTTATTGCTAATCAATAGTTACGTTTTAAGCCTCATCAGATGCCGCCCCAGAAAGCAAAAGAGACACTTTTGTGTGTGGCTGAAAGTGGGCAGAGATGCCTCTGGTGCTTCGAGGGCGACAATGCATTACATGCTTGAAGACAAACATTAAGTACTTGCAGGGATGAATAAGTGCATGCTGTTGTGCAGCATGCGCATATGCTGCCTTTCCTCGTGTTTCTGAGGTGTAGCGGCCGCGCTAGGTGCCTGTATACAGGGAGTAGCAGCAGGGGGTCAGCTAAGATTTGTGAGGGATAAGGTGAGGGAGACACGAGGGAGTCGGGAATTGATCAACAACAAATAAACAACGAACTGATGGAGTTGAACTAAAATGGTGTTTTATAAACTGAATAATATATTACTTATTGCAGACGTTTTAGGAAAGCATTAAACGGGGGACAAGTGAAAATTTTTGTGGGGTCACTGTCGGAGAAGAGTCACACGCGCGCAGAGACACGCACAAACTGGAGGGGGAGGGGTTGCAGTCGCATTTCTTCTCCTTTTTGCCTTCTTATTCTTTTGCATCTTTTGTTCGTTGCAAGTTTCCCTTATTTCAGCAGAATCGGCCACACTGAGGCATGCAGACCATCATATAATCAAGTGTTAGGGGGGGAAGAGAGGCTGAATGGGCTTTCTGGTCTCCAGATGATGCGGGTGTGTTTCAAGCAATTATGAATCTAGGAAGCAACTAGTGAGCTGAAACAACCATTTAATTCTGTTATTTCAGGTGTATTCGCACTGCAGCAGGCCAATGCTGCTGCATTGCAACAACTGGGGAAAGCAGTGGCCAGCGGGGGAGCTCCCTGTTTCTGTGGTAAATGCTGCCGTATGAGCGGTGGTGGGTTCACTAAACCCTTTCCTAATACATATTTACGTTAACGGTCATGTGTGCACATATGCGTATTTGTAAAATGCCTTTTTTATTTATTCCCGCCTATGCAGAAGGCGGCCGAGCACCAGAGTGGCGGGCGGCGGCCACAGAGGGCCCAATGACCAACTGTTTATTAGACGAAATAACTCAGGAAACACTGAAATAATTAAACAATAAAATATTAAACGGCGGTTAAATGTGTAATCGAAAAGTTTTAAATTCCAGCAGTAGATGCTCCAATGCGGGCGATGCCGACGAGTAGCCGTAGCGCAGCAACAGCGCCCGCGCCCTTTGTGGTGTACATGCAATATATATTGCACGTAATTAAATGTTAAATGCGAAGCAACTGACAATTTAAATTGTTTAAATGGAGTTGACAGCCCAACCACCCGGCTTGCTGCCTCGCTCGCAAGGTAAAGAGAGCGCTCAATGACGGCTTCTTCCGCTGCAGTAATTCGTACCCGTTGAGAGTTTCCAGGCTGTCTTGCATTGTCCCCCTTTTCGTATTCACAGCCGCGTTTCCAGGGTCCTTGTACTCGGTTTAAGGCTTAACCGGTGCAGCAATGCAGCCCGCAGTAGTACAGAACGCCGCTGCTCTAGACGGCACTGCGGCTGCCTCCGTCCTCGTCTACCCCGTCACTTCTCTGCTGCCACAGACGGAGGCTCTGCGGGCTTTGCTGCAGCACAAACGGGAATTGGTGCGGCCTTCTTAGCAAGAAAAGGTGCAGATAAAATGAAATACAGGAGATAGTGTATGAGATAACAGAAGACCTCCCTAAACACTCAAAGCATCACACGTCAGCACTATCCATATCCTCGTAACATGCTGCAACCCTCGTCACCTTCCTTTTGCTTGAAGTTTTCAGCCGCTTCAGCCGAGCTGTAGACAGGAGGAGCTCAGGGTTTAGGGTTTAGGGCTGTAGGGTCTAGGGGAGCAGCGATGGCAGCATGGAGGGTTTAAGGATCGGGGATACAAACCTCAAGAAGGAAACGAAGCCCCCAAAACGCCTCGAATAGCAAGGCAGCCAGCATAGCATCTTCCGATAAAAGCAAGAATATCCGTTCGTGGCTCTTTTTGCATACGCCAAAAGAAGCTCCATGCAATAACAAATCATAAATAGTTGCAAATAGCACATAACAACCAATAACAAGCAGCAACAAGTAAAAACGTATTAAAGCAAATAACAGAAAACGACACCCTTTAAACACAAATAACAATATATACCAGCAAGGAGAGGCAAAGAAAAATACAAACACTTACGACTTAAAAGCGACGGACAAAGACGGCAGCAGGCCAGCGGTCTTCAATACTTTTCTCGTGCTGGCTGACTTTGTTTACTTTAGCATCCAAACGCGAAACCGACATACACAGGGCGAAAGATACGATAGAAATACCTGTGTACGCATGCGTACTTAGGTGGTATATATTTCCTTATATATATTCTTACATTTACGTATGCATTTGTTTAACAGTACCACAGCAAAAGCAACACTAGCATTTTGCTGCAACAGCTGGGATGCCTGCTGCTGGCATTCGTTGTTGCTTGTATCAGGAGCTGCAGCAGCAGCAGGAAGAAGGGGAGCGGCTTCAAGACCAGCGCCTTCAATCTTTGGCGCTGCAGCAGCATGACGAGCTGCTGCGGCGCAGCCAGCTGCAGCGCAGAATGCTGCAGCAGCAGCAGCAGCAGCTCCTAAGAGAGGAAGAAGGGCGCTCTCTCCAAGATCCCAACTTCAGCTCCCTCCTCCGCCTCAGCCGCTCCCCCCGAAACAACAGCAACGGCAGCAGTAGCAACGATGAAGAACGGCCGTATGTACCCCGTTTCCTCTCTCTTGGGTCTTTGGGGCTCAACCCCGTGCAAATTCGACTGCTGCTAAGAGAAGGACTCGCCGCCAACCCAGATATTGAAGAACTCGGTACTACATGCTGCTTCTGTTGCTGTGGCTGTTCCTGCGGCTGTTCCTGTTGTGGCATTCCTTGCCTGTCCTATGGGGGGCACTGCTACTCCCACTGTGGGCGCTGCTGGTGCTGGTGCTGTTGCTGGGCTGGTGCAGCAGCTGTTGGTGCAGCTCTTGCTGTTGCCTGCTTCTCTTGCTGTTGTTGGTGCAACAACACTAAAGAAACACTCTTCATTCTGTTCTTTTAGCGTCCTCTTCCACTAGTTTTTAACGTTCTGCAACGAAACGCCACGAGTGCCTCCATCTGCTCGCTTGCAATTTAGGGGTGGCGTTTGGGCCATAGGGTTTTGTGTATAGGGTTTAGGGCTTCTGGATCCGGCTCGCCAGTTAAGTGTTTGACGTTCCGTGTTTAAGGGTTTAGAGGTTTTAGCGTTTTTATTGTTTATGGTTAAGGGTTTGTGTGGATATTTGTTAGACTTGAGCCGAGTCGGTTTGACTGATGACGAGGGCCCTATGGTGTGCAAGAGTGTGGCAACAATGGAGTGTCTCAAGCTATTCTCGCTTGAAGGAAACCCGATAGGAAGGCTCACAGCTGTAGAACTCAGAAAATGCCTCGAGGTCCTTCAGATTGCTGGTGATGCTGTTGATGGCATCTGCGCTGATGCTGCTGAGATTGATGCTGCAGCTGGTGCTGCTGTTGAGGCTGCTGCTAATGGTGGTGCTGCTGAGCCCGCTCCGGCTGGTATCAATGCTGCTGGTTTTGCTGCTGCTGCTGTTGTAGCTTTGCACGTAGAGCTTGCTTGTGTCGGTGCTGCTCTTCCTTAGACAGAAAAAGCAACAGCAGCAACAACACCAGCAGCAGCAGCAGCAACAACAGCAACAAGAGCAACAGCAGTAGCAGCAGAAACAACAATCAGCATCATAAGATCACGCCCGCATCCACAAGCGCAGGCAGAGCATCTCAATGTGCCTAGAACGCATAAAAATGTAATATGCGCTGCTGCTGCTGCTGCGTCTGTTGCAGACAATGCCTACCCTGGAGTCTTTAGACTTAGGAGGCTGCTACCTTGGAGGGCCTCGCGGCTTCGCCGAGATCTGCCGCGCTTTATGCAGCAATAAAACCCTAAAGTTCCTCTCCCTCAGAGGAATGCAAATAGACCCTGTAAACCACTAGCGATAAGGGTTTACGGTTTGCGGTCCAGCGTTTTGGAGCCAGTAGCACGCTGATGGAATAAGGGGACCTTCTGATGCTTCTGCTTGTGCCTCTGTTGCCTGTAGAGGTTGCAAGTATCTGCTGGTCACAAGGGTTTATAGGTTATTCTGTACTTGGTAGGTCGTGGTATCCTCAGGCTGGAGGCGAGTTGTTGCTGGAGTGTCTTCGCAATAACTCGACTTTACAGTGCCTGGACGTCAGCGACAATAACATTAGTAAGCCTTCCATATTAGCCAGTTAGATAGCTAGCTAGCTAAGACGTGGCCAAGAGGCGAAGCAAGCGGACCCTGCAGAGAAACAGAAGCGCAGACTTTCGCGGACACCTGAAGCAGCAGCAACAGCAGTAGCAACAGCATTCCCTGTCATGCTGAAGCACGTGGGACGTTAACGCTCTCGCCGCTGCTCCATTTTGCATGTTGCACTTGGACTTGGTTTTCACTGCTATTGCACCTCCTTCCCCTACTGCAGCTGCCGTTGCCGCTACTGCTGCTGCTGCTGCAGCTGCTGAGCAACACCTGCGGCTGAACTCGTTGGTGTCTGCTAACAAGTCTTCTCTTAAAAGGCGAGCTGAGAGGGAGGCCGTGGAGAGGAGACAAATGGAGAAAGAAGAGAAAGACACCAAATCCTTCCTAATGCAGCTAGAGGCCTTCCGGTCGGGTGTTAATTACTCTTTGCTTTAATGTCCTTATTTATATAATAAAGAAAGCTTATTTTTTAAGCATTCGCAAGACGAAATATATTAATGAAAAGCTTGTCCTTGTCATTTACCTTGCATTGGTTTCACGTTAGAACACATATTCTACGTTTAAGTTTTCGTCTCTGCGAATAATAACTCCATTTCTCTTCTCACCTGGCTTCCTCAGCTGCCTATTTCTTCTGCTGTGTCTCTTCTAGAGAATTCTTCTACTTCTCCACCTCTACGTTTGTCTCTCTGCCTTAGTCTCTGTACCTCTGTCCCTGTCTCTCTGTTTTTGCCTATATCACTGTCTCTCTGCCCGTAGCTATGTGTCGGTTTCAGTGTCTGAGTCTACCTCCTTTGCTTTTCTGCCAATGCCTTTCATTTCTGCCTTTCATGGCCTTTGTATCATTTTGTCTTTCGCTTACCTCGTGTCTTGCCCTCTTTGCCGTCTTCTCTCGTCTTGTATCTGTGCCTTCAACTTTATACAAACTCCTGCGCGTTCTGGTCAAATTCAACTGCAACTGCTGCTTATTCGTCTTCTACTACTGTGATGGATCTTGTTCAGCCGTCCGCTGTTGTTGCTGCTGCTGCAGATATATATTGTGGGTCTAGTTGTGAGTGCAGGTTAGCTGTTGAAGGAAGCGAAAGCCGTTCTTTAGCTCGCGAAGCTGTCAGCAACCTCACATATCTATTAGTTACTCAGCTATCTGGCCATTTAGCTAGCATGCTGGTTCACTGCGCTTCTTTTTATATTTTAATTAGACTATCTCTGTCCCTGTCCTCTATATCTCCGTAATACCAGGGTCTTCGCCTGTTTGCCTTTGCTCCTATATAAACGCCTGCCACTTACTGTGATTGCTTGGCTTTGTTCTGTTTACTTTCCTTTGTTTCGATTTGGTCTAATTGCCGTTTTAATCTAAAATTCATTGCCCACACTGGCCCCCTTTTGGTATTGATCCCTTTTGACTTTATTCTCCTAATTGTCTTTCTGTCCTAAGCATACATGCTATTATTTGGCTGCTTTTCGTCGTAGGCTGCATTTCAGGATTGGAAGCGGCAGTGTGCTGAGGAAGAAGCAGCACATAAAGAGACAGTTGCTGCTCTGCAACAGGTTAAAATAAACCCCTTCTGAATGTTGCCTGCGTATCGTCGTTTTCTCCTCTCTCTGCTGGTTGTCCCTGTTGCTTGTCTTCCTTTCTTGTCCTTGCTGCTCGCCTTCGTTCCTTGTCTTTGTTTATTCGCTTCCCGTGCTTGTCAGTCGTCGTTCCCCCTTGTGTCTAGATTTCGTTCTTGCTTTTCTTTTGTTTTTTCCTCTTGCTTCTGGCCTTCTGCTTTGGCTTGTGTCTCCTGCTCTGGTCTTTCGTTTCTTGCCTTCTTGCCTTTCATTTTTCCTTTTGTGCTTCCTCTGCTTGCTGTTCCTGTGTGATTTCAAGTCTCGTTGTTATTCCCATTGTCCCTAATTATTTACTAAGCTTCCTGAATACTGGTGTAGGATTTGATTTACTTACTGCTCCTTTATTTTTGTTTCGCTGTCATTCCTGCCTCCCGCTGCTCCATTATGGCCCCTCAAGCTTTGGGCATTCAAATGCCGTCAGCTCGTACTGTTGCTGCTGTTACTGCTGCTGCATCAGGCGTATGAAGATCGCAAAGCAGCCGCGCAGAAACGGAGGGCGAAAAAGGGACAAAAGAAAAAGAAAGCCTAAACCCTAAAACCCAAAAATCTGAAACTGTGCTAAACCAAAAAGCCCTCTACCCTTCCTATCGGTATCATTTAAGGCCTGGCGAAAGGCGGCCGGTGTCCAGTGCAAGCAGCGAAAGTTTTTGCTGCTGCTGCTGCAGCACCAGCAGCAGCTGCTGTTGCTGCTGCCGCTGCCGGTGGTGCTGCTGCAGCCAAATCGAATCAAAGCCTGTGCTTTGCGCAACAGCGATTTGGGTGCAGCAGCAGCTGCTGCTGCAGCTGCTGCTGCAACTCCTAACAAAGAATGAGTGCGCAGCGACATGAACCACTGGTTGTTGTAAAAATAGAAAAAAACAAACTACTGCTACTACTGTTGCTGCGGTTGCTGCTCTCGTGCTGCAACAACAGGTGTAGCTCCTGCTACTCCTGCGATAAAAGTAACGCTGTTGGTACAGCTGTGTCTGCAGAGGCGTAATGTGTTTCGCTGCCCCTAGTACTACTTCATCATGCATATGGGACGGTCTACTGTCACTCCTGTCGCTGAAGCAGTTCTTGTTCTTGTTGCTGCTGTCGCTGCTGCTTGCGCTTCTGCTTCTGCTGCTGTTGCTGCTGCTCTGCCTGTACCCTTCTGGAAAGGTACTTGGACAGGTAGGAGTTGTCTGTACACTCCAAGTTGAAGGCATCGAGCAGCAGCTGCAACAACTCCTGGAGAGAGCAGCGCAGAGAAGCAAACAAAGAAAAGAAGATGAGAAAACGACCAAGAGGCATGACAAGACAACCTAACAAACTGGCAGAGAGAAGTGGTATAGAAGGGACGAAAGACAGAAAGACAGACGGACGAAACAACAGTGGGACCAACACAACAACAGACCAAAGAGAGCGCATAGGGAAACAACCGAGATAAACAAATAATACAGGGAGGAAATGGCCACAGACACATATTGGGACACATCAAACCGGTAGAAAAAATACAGGGAAGAAGGACAACACAAACTAATGAAAGAACAAGAATGAGGAGGTATTCAAACACTGCAGTACTTTGGGAAAGAACAACAAGAAAAAGAGATATTACCAGACAAAGGAGAATAATGAGAGTACGAAGAATAAAGAATGCAAATAAAATAAAACGCCTAAATAAGGGCAAAAAGATAAGGAACCACCTTGTCATGAAGCCCTTTGTCTCCAACAGCAGTTGTCGCTGACACATCTCTTCCAACATACACGGGTCGCTCTATTTTATTTGGATGTCCCAAATGCCGCAGGCAGGACTCTATGCGTTTGCTTGTGTAGCCCCAAGCCCCTGCAACACACTAAACGCTAAACGCTTAACCCTCCAGAATTCGCAACTTGAACTTGATGCGTGTCAGATATATGCAACGTACATAACGAACAAATAAAATGAATACAATAATAAAATCAACAATAAAGCAGTCAACATTTTCAGGCATTGACTTCCATACGTGAGATGCGCGTGCATCTGAAACCAAGCGGGCAGCAAGGGTCGCTGTTGCAGTAATAAAAGGCTAATATGGAGAGAAACAAGAGAAGCAAATAAAAGTAGATGAAAAGCCGCGTATTTTGGTGGTTCGTCTGCCAATACGCCTGTTTTCTAGACAAATTCTAGAGAAACGTAGTACTAACAACAACATCCATTTGCTCCATTTTCTGCTTTGCTTCTCGTTTCTCCGCATTCCTTGAGACAATTCCGCGTAAACACCGGATGAGCCTTCATCGAATATATTCTAACTACTTTCCTCCTTCTATTCGCCCGTTTCTTTTCTCTCTTCGCTATGCTTTTCTCTGATTTCCCCTCACTTTCCATCTATCCACTATTATTCCTTGGCGGATATCCTCCACCGCTAACTCAACATAAATACCTCATTATTATTCTCGGATTTCTCTTTTACCCTCCACCTAACTATGGCTCTATCAATCTATTAAATATCAACCTCCTTGTCCATTATTATCGGATTTATTCTCCGTTCCTTACCTTGGTTCATAGGCTCTTCTTGGGCCCAAACAACACTGCGCAGGTTTGGGTATCTCTGAATGTCTCTTATCGCCAAATCAAATGGAAACGGCGACAGCTGCTCAACACGAGCCAAAGCAACCCGATTGCCTGCAGCAGCAAAAGCAGAAGTAGGTACAATAGCAGCAGCAACAGGTGCAACAGCAACATCTGTGCAGCAGAACCAACAGCAGTCAGACCAGCACCAACAGCTCCAGCAAAACTAGCACACAGAGGTCCCGTAACACCAGGATCAGCAGCAACAATAGCAACAACTGCAACATACCTGGGTTGTCTGGGTCATTGTTTTCACTTTGAATTCTTTCCCTTTCCGAGAGGAGGTCATAATAAATCTGTCCACAACATAAAATTAGCCGCTCAACTCGGAGAGGGTCTCCAATCAACTCGTCGGGAATATATCTGCAAAAGCAGAGAGAAAAATACGATAACAAAAAACAAAATAAACAGACGCAATATAATATATTGAAACATACAAACTGAAAAACGATCGATAATATTCAAGAGGACTAAAACAATAACAGATGTCAAGACAAACAAATTCGAAGGCATCCATTAAAAATAAACAATAAAGTAACATTTAATAGCATTAGCAAGTGCAATAACATACGAAACGACCAAACAGAATAACATCCAGCGAAACAAACAAAAAAGCAGCATATGTTGAACATACAAATAGAGCAACATATCCTACGATAATGTAAAATAACTTATCAAAACAAAAGTAGGCTAACTAACCACATTACTACCAACTAGGCTAACAACTCACTGGGGCAATACTGGAGGCATCAACCAAACGAAAATGGGAGGCAAACATGAACATCAACAAAAAGAACGAAAAGGGGACAATAAGGAAGATTGGAAAAGAATAACGAGGTGGTCAGTAAAAATACAGTTAACGAAAACGCCTTCCGTATAAATAGACATAAAGCAAACAATATAAATTGCGTTCTCTCCTTAAGATGTCGTCTGAAGCACCAATTTTACCATCTAATCCACATTATTATTCACACTATTCTTACAAATGCATCCTTGTATTTATACTTGCACTTTTATTATCGCTTCGCAATTTTCCTTATCCTAGCTGTTACTATTACTGGTCAAACAAACCACCATGCTGAGTCGCTTTCCCTCACCGATAACTTTTAACCAGTTATAACACACTCTAGTCATGATATTGATAGTGGTAATAAAAGTAAATAATAAAGAAACGGACTCTACTAAACGCATGACGCCTTCTAAAACGCTCATACGGTGACTAATGTTTCAACACCAACGAAGATAACGAAGATAATGCTACCTTTATCATAATTATTACTGACACAAGAAACAGACCTTCTAAATCGTGTTCCTTCCATAATATCCTCTAACGAGCTCATAGCCTGCCGGAGTCTAAGCATCCGTTTGGGAGAGAAAACAACCAGCGGTTTTCGGAAGGCGCGGTGGACTTGGCGGCGTAGCACATGGAAGATGTTTGCCGGAACAGTTGGAACTACCACCTGAGGGCAGCAGCCCCAAACAAAACAAATAAAATGGGAATGATTAATTATAAATAATAATGAGCCCATTCATTAACTGTATCGTTACATCACTTCTAAAAGAAGAATACGAGCAAATACAAGTACGCACATAACGCAGGCCACGAAAGCTGCAACTGCTTGTGAGATCTGCACCCAGCTGTAGAACAACAAGCGAACAAACCACTAAATACGCAAACAAATGAACAAGTCAATAAACAAGAGCAACACCCGGCATGCAATACATGCTGTAAAACACGCATGTGCATGTGTACGCATATGTACGCCAATACACTGCAAAAAGCATCAACCAATTCACCCCTGCATAACGCACAGGAGAGGCGCAGCTTCTGTATTGTGCATCGAAAGCCTGTATGCCAACTTGAACTCTCCAAACAATCCCACCACAACCCTAAAACCCGAGCAACATGAAATCCTAAAACAACGGCTAGTAGCCATGAATTGTCGGTGCTGACCTGTATATTGTGCTGTTGAATAACCGAAGAACGCGACAACTCCCAGTTTTCCTCATGAATTACATCTTCTCGGTCGTCGCACAACTGTAAAAATCTTTCGATACGCGCAGAAGAGTGCTCGGGACCTTGCCCGTCGTAGCCATGAGGCAGCAGCATAACCAAACCTAAACACATCCAGGTGCAGCAGCAGAAATAGACTGATGACGATACTAATGATATCCTTAAATAAGAAGGTGGAGGAAAAGGATGGAGAAGGGGAATGTGACGGAAGAGCAGAAGAAACAATTGTGCAACAGCAACCAGAACCACAACCCGGAGTTTGCTGTTGTTACTGTTGCTGTGGCCACTGCGTTCGTCTCTTGTGCTGTTCCATGTTTGCTGCAGTTGCGTTTAAGGGCGGTTTACGTCGATCTTGTCTCGGCGACCTATCAGTTCTTAGTTGTGCAATGGCATTTCTATTATGTAGCTTGCGCGTTGTAAGATATACAATAGTGCTCTAATATTTGTTGCCACAATTTTATACTGTTGAAGCTGTGGGGCGCGGCGGAATATTATCTGTGCTTTGTTTACAGCCAAATTTTTCTGCCCACCCCCTCGGTGCTCGCGTTACATGATTTCGCGTATTTCGTTAAATAATGTTTCTGAATTTCGCCGTCAGTGTATTGCAGCAGTTGGTGTTTTAAATGTGAATTTTGGTTAGTTTGGTGAGAATGTTTTGCTTTTAATGGATTTGAACTAAAACCAGCCACCCCCATATAGCAGCAATTTACCGTTCTGTCGATTCCACTTAACCTCCGCTGACACCACAAATTGGTCAATAATTATCTGCGCGCCATTCGAAAAATCACCAAACTGCGCCTCCCAGATCGCGACGGTGTCGGGATGTTCCATTGAGTACCCAAACTCGTACCCGAGCGCTGCTCACAACACTGCACCAGCAACACCTGAAACTGCTGCAGCGACTGCTAAAACTGCTGCTGCACTACGCACTGCTGCAACACCAACAGACACGTGTACATAACAGAAGCAGTGGTAACCGGAGGAGAATCAGGTGCTCCGGCAGCATGGATTGTAACTGCCGTTACACCTGTGGCAGAAGCTACGGGAGTAAACACCAGCAACAAAACAAAACTGTCCCGCTGGAAAACAAAATCAGCCTAAACACCACCATTCATACCATCACTTATTACCAGCTTCATACCAGTATAATATTAATGAGGACAATCATCATCAACCAGAATCACATCAAGTCAAATCATACCGAATCGCACCATACCACGTCTTACATTATATCATTAACATTAACGCCACGCATCATACCTTTTATATATAATACATGGTAATTGCCAATACCTCTATCAGTTATAATCACTAACATCAGTATCATAACCATCATATTTTGACTCGTTATCAGAAAAATGCTAGTATTGTTCTTTACCTGCATATTCGGAGAGTGGTGAGTTGCAGACGGTGATACAGTGCGGCAAATTCAAATCCTTCAGACCGTCGAAGATGCAGTGTTGCGCCTCCACTGCCTGGTCGTGCAGCACCGCATGTCGGTGCGAGAAAGTCCCGCGCTGTGCATCTTGGCCTGCCAGCCGAACCTGAACAGCAGCAGGAGCTCCTGCAGCAGCAACTATAGCGAGAAGCAGGAGGTCGCGCAACAAGAGCAAAAGGTATCGTAACAGCAACAGAAGCAGCACCAAGCAAACAGCAGCAGCAACCAAGAAAAGCAGAAGTAGCACCATCAGCATCCCAAGCAGCAAAAGCATCCCCACATAAGGCAGAACCGCCGCCAGCAACAGCACCAGCACTGTGTATTGGCATTCGTACATGAAACCCGTCACTGAGCAGAGTTGCATAGGCAAGGTTCTCAGCAGCACCGAAGTCGAGGCTCTTCTCATGTTGGGGACCTTCAACTGCTGCGAGTCTCTGCTTCATTATCTTGGCAATCGTCGCATGCGGTACAAATCCCTCAGGAATTGTAAATATCCGACGCCCCAACTCACGCAATGCAGACAGACGCACACCTGCAGCAACAACAGCAGCGGTAGCAGTAGCAGAAATATAACTGTTAGCGGACCTCCCCCCATCAGCTTCTCTGGCTTTCCAACACGCAGCAGGTCCTTCGCGCATCTAGTGAAGCAGCACAACCACCAGAAGCAGTGGTTGCTGCTTCTGGTAGGCTGCAGCCTGTCTGGTGTGCTGTTCGCCTCTTCGTCACGGGTAAGGCACAGCATAAGCGACCACAAAACTGAAAGGACTTCGACACCCAAAATGGCTAGGGCCTAGGATTTAACCGTTTGCTTGCCTGTAACGCGCGGGGGCGACGGATGGTCGGGAGTTACTAAGTGCTTCCATTGTGGGGCATATTGGCACTGCAGTGAGCACGCGCAGGTAAAATGTACTGCTTAATTGGCAACAATACATATACATTGTGCACACGGCTGGCAGCGAGTGAAATCCAGTATATATACCAATACACATTAAAAGAAATCGAAATTGCTATGGTGTATGTGCTGCAAATATCCCTGCACACGACTATTTGCCATATGATAATAATAATCCCCGCACGCTGAGCACATATATTACCTGATGGGCGGGGACAAATGTTTTGCTGCTTTCATACTCCTTGTTGTAGAACTCCCAAATCTCCGACTTCATTCTCGAGACGTCTTCTTCAGTCATTACCTCCTGCAACACGCAGCAGCAGCAAACACGCAGAACATGGGCAATGAACAGCCACGCAGTTGAAACCATAAGAAGAGAGCAGTGCTAGTTGGGTGCACTCCTTCTGCATGTCCGTTTGTGTCCCTCCCTGCGTCCAATGGTCTTTCATCCTTCTTCCCGCCATTTCGGCCTGTTTGTCTGAATGTCGATCTGTCTGTGGATCCATTTATGAGTTATATAATTATAACAGGCTTCCTTCCCCTAAGACTCCCCAACACTTCAGGTCCCTGTCCCGCTCTTCGTCCTTTCATCCATCTGCCGTTCTATTCTGCTTCCTCTCCCCCTGAAGGGAAGTCTCCTCATACGTTGCCCTGCTATATGGACACCTGTTGGTCGGTTTATCTGGCTGTCGTCTTCTACCATGTCCCTCTGCCCCATAATTTGCTTGCATGCGTGTCTGTGTGTCCGTCTATCCATATGCTTGCGCATGTATTTGTGCGTGTTTATGTCTGTACTTGTGTCTGTCAGTGTTATATATATATATATATATTA